AATACAAAAGAAGAATAAATGAATGCCACTACACAAACGTTTGTGATCTTCCCTGATGTTATTTCCAGAAAACTGTTGGAAGTAGTCAGCCAACATTTTCTGGGCTCGATGTAAATTAATGAGTGAAGATAATGAGTGAATACAGGGAGAAAATTCCTGGCCAGCTTATTAACGGTAGTTCAACATACAGAAGCTGGAGAGGTACTTGCAATTGACTGTCAAAAAGGCAGATCATGTAACAAATCACTTAGTCCACCTCTCCTTGATTAACTGATTGGGAAACTCAGGTCTAACTAGCAGTCAATTGACTCATCTGCCATTGGGGTCATTTGCTAAGGACTGGAAGACTTTGGTTTGATTTCCAGCTTTTCACTTACTACCTATGTGAACTGGGAACATATTTAACCTCCAAGCTTCACCTTTCTGATCTTTAAAATTGAAACAATTATTATTATTTCCCTTCGTTGTTGTTGCTGTTGTTGTTGTTAATTTCAAAATCTTATGGATATACAAATGTTTTTGGCTACATGGATTGCTTTTGTAATGCTTGAGTGAGGCTATAACTGTGCCCATCTTTCTTATACCACAGCATTAGGGTAAGAATCAATGGGAATGAGAGACTACTCCTTGAAAATCAAATGACACAAAATGTGAAAGGGTGTGTTGAACTGTAAAATCAAGCACTACTCTTCTGGGAGGTAGTTCAGCACGGTGGTTAAGATCTATGGTCTTAAAATCAGAGATATCTGAGTTCAAACCCAGTTCTGCCACTGAGTAGCTATGTGACTTTGGGAAAATTATGCTGCCTTTCTGGGCTTCTCTCATCATCTATAAAATGGAAAAGAATTGTTCAAAGGACTAAGTGAAATACTTTATGTAAAGCAAAAAGCAAAGTGCCTGGTATATTGACAGCATTCAATAATTAGCAGCTATAATGCATGTTGTTATTAATACCATCTTCTTTCACATGAATTAACAGTGCCAGACTCAGGCACAGATGTCCCAGCTCCTTCTACCACAAACAACCTGAACAGCCGGGAGACCTGGTGTGAGCAAAATTGTCTTCCTCACATGAGTCATCCTAGATCCCTCTCTTTCCCTTTACATCTCACCTCCAATCCAACAGTAAATCTTAGTCTTTACTCTGAAATATAACCTAAACCTGGCCACGTCTCCCCGTTTCCTCTGCTATCCTCCAGGACTATAGCACCATCATCTCCAGCCCCAACTTGACCAAAGCCTCCAAACTTGTCTCTCTGGTTCCTCTCCTGCCCCATGAGTCCATTCTCTTCAAAACAGCTATAGTGCTCTTCCCAAAACGTAAGTCCTGTCATTCCCCTGCTTAAAATTTCCCAATAGGGTTTTAGAGATAAGTTCCTTACCGTGGTAAACAAAACTGCACATGATTTGGCCTCCGCATACTGTTCCAGCTACATGTTGTTCTATTCTGCCCCTTGACCACTACACTGGACATTTTTCTGTTTCTAAGGTGCCAAACTTATTTCTATTCCAAGGTTTTTGCACTTGCTCTTCTCTTTATCTGGAGCTCCCTTTCCTCTGTTTTTTAATGACTGGCTTTTTCTCGTTATTGAGTTTTCTCAAAGGTCATCTCATTATAGAGGCTTTCCTAATCATTCCATCACTTTCCATCCCATTATCCTGTTCTTTTTTTTTAAATATCGCTTGTCGGAATCTGAAATTACCTTATTTATATTTGTATGTGTATTGTCGGCATTTCACCTTTCTCCCTGAAGTCAGGATTTTGTCTTCCTTGCTCATCCCTCTACTTTTCAGTGTTCCTCCTTCCTGAAAAGTGCATGTACAGAGTAAGTGATCAATAAATATATTCTGATTGAAAAACAAGTGAATGAATGAAATCCATAGATATTTCTATATAGCACGATAAACATACATTATGAAGAAACTGTGAACACCTCCATCTACAGGGAGGAGGCTCCCCCTCCCCATGACCCCCAATAAAAATGTGAAAACCAACCCCCCCCAAAAAAATATATTATGCAAATTATTGACTATGTCCTACATTGATGGCATTAAGCAAGGAAGCTCAGTGGATCGCTCTACAAATGTCAGTGGACATTTTCTACCCTAATAAACCATGTTGTACATTTGAGATAAGCTAGAAGAAAAGAAAAAAAAATGGAAAACTTTTTAAACTATGTTTTAATCATAGCAGTGTACCCCCCAGCCATCTCATAACTTGTGTGTGTTT